ACCGCAGCCCGGTCCAGACCGGTTCAGACCGGCTGGACCGGTTCAGCCCTACTTTCTAATCGGTTCGGTTCTCATGTTAAGGTTTCAGCCCGTTTCATAATTTTAATGATATTTTCAGTTAAATTTTCGGGATTATTTCAGTTCAGTAAATTCATGTCCAATCAGTTCATGTTGAGTCAGTTCCGGTTATTCCAGTTAAGTCTAAATATCATGTCAGGTTCAGTAGAGCATCTTAACGAAATTAATCAGTTAAGTTAAAAGTCTGAGCATAGTCATTAGTAATCGTTTATATTATTTTTAGTTTGATCAGGCATCAGCACTACCGTTCAGTTCAGCAGTTCAGGTGGGGACTCAGACTACGTACTACATTGATTATAATTACAGTACCATGTTTGAGGTATGTATTTTAGTTGAGGTATCCGCTCGGAATGGTCGCCGGTCCATTCTGGGTTCTAGTGGCCCTAGTCTGCCCACTAGAGTGTGCACATGGTGTCCGGCTTTGCCGGCAGATGAGGGAACGGTCAGGGTCACGTTTGCGTGACGATTTCAGATTCATGTTCATGTTATTACCGGCTTGAGGTTGAGGTTGAGGTTATGTATATACTGATATCATGATGTTGTTATTATTTTCAATGTTTACATTAGTATGAGTTTCCATGGAGCACAGTGTCATCGTGCTCATTTCCCACTTTTATCATGTTTTTCAGGTCAGGATGTCGGGCCGGGAGCGTGACGTGACGGAGGCTTCAGGATATTCATGTTTTGACTGTATATGTATATTGATGATTTACGCTTCCGCTAATGATGTTTTGATGACTTTTGACGTACTTATATTGTGATGTACTTTTGGGAAACTTTATGATTTCAGTAACCGGATGATTTTCTTAAAAATTAAAATAACTGTTTTCCAAATTAAGTCACAATTTTAAGGTAGCACCCCGAATCAGTTTTCGCAAAGTAAAAGGCTTTATTTTTAAATAACTTTGCGAAATTTTCGCACTCTGATTTCACGATAAGGCGGGGTGTTACAATTGGTATCAGAGCACGTTTCTGCGTCTCTGAAAAGTTTTTCAGACAGTAATTTTTCAGAAAAACATGAACCGTCATGCTCACGCCCCGCCGACGATAGGTAAGTGCTGATTCAGTTTTTCAGTTATAAACATATTACTTTGTCTATGCTCAGAATTAAGGATCATGACTTTAGTTAAGATGCTCGAATCAGGTTCAGACTTTAGAGTTCGGACATGACTCTAGAATTCAGGCATTCAGATATGACTCTAGACATTAGGATCTTCCTATATGACTCTAGAGTTCTTCAGGTTTCATGTCAGTATTTATCGACCACTTTTGGCGACTCGTCAAGAGATTTGTGTGCCTTAGTAATCAGTCAGAATGTTATCACGTATTCAGTAATGTTAAACTTTCTCAATGTTCAGATGCCGCCACGTAGGGAACCCGATCATCAGGCTCTTACTCAGGCTACTGTAGTCGCATAGTTCCGCGACTACCACGCTGAAAAGTTCTCAGGGCAGGGAGATTCCCGTATCGTGGACGAGTGGAATTAGAACCTTAGAAAGGGATCAAGTTTAAGAACTCTAGATTCAATTTTAGATTTACACAAGTCAAGTTAGCAACTTGTCAGGAGATTCGTAAGCACTTGTGCTAAGCAAATCTTAATAATCATGTTTCTCAGATATATCTATCGAAAATTGCCGTTTTGCCAATCAGTTGGCAGATTCCAGGGACAAATTCCTTGAGTTAGATCAGGGAATAGACTAAAAATTTCCTAAGTCCGATCAGTAAATCATGTTCAAGGCTAAAATTTTCATGTTAAAGGTTGTTATAATTCTCAAGTCAGTGTTAAGGTAACGGTTTCCAGTGTATAAGAGTCAGTAGTCCGGGTTACCATGGAGGCTTGAAATAATAGCCATTCAGCCGGGTATACCATGGAGGCTTGAAGCTGAAACCGGAACAGTATGATTTCATGTAATAACAACCTTTCAAGTCAGTCATGTCAGATATTTTATCAGTCATGATATTTCAAGTTATGATTTTTCAAAGATCAAGATCAGCTAATTACGTTGTACTTGCGGGACCAGTTGATACTGGAACAGCCCTATACAGTACAGAGTTATAAATTCATGTTTACGATTTACAGTTTATGTTCATGATGTAAGGTCGACGTATAATAGTTGTTCAGTCGGGTTACATATGGCGGTCTGATATACAGACCATGAGTCCAAATTTACCCGGAAACTTGAAGTCGCACCTTACCAAGTCAAGTAAGTCACGTTTTCAATCCCGAAGCGACTATTTAGTTGTCTCGGGAAGTTTTCAGAGTTCAGACAAAGAAGATTCAGACATGTAAGATTCAAGTCATGGTCATTCAGTTATATGA